ACTCGGATGCTTGAAATTTTTTTGAACATTCAGCATTTAAGGAAAATTTGATACATTTTGAACCGTGAACAATTCCAAGATTCCCGGGTATCTTTATGATAGTACGTCGTTCCTTTCACGAAAGAACTTAACCACATTCCAATGTTGCCAAATTTCCCCTCGCAAATTGCACTTTTACCAAGAGAATTTTGGGAATTTCTAAATGAAATTTTCACTGGTTTTTCTCCGTATCTCATGCAAAAATCAGGAAAGTTTTGGACGAAAATTTTACGGGTGTGTTCTTGTAAAAAAATGCGATTATTTGAGACAATTTTGCAACCTTTGGATGGAGTTACGTTCCTTCGTGCGGGAAACGACGAGTAAACACTTAAAATAACTGTAGGGTCACGAAATTCTAGATTTAGCGGAGTATTTTTGACCCTCCGCTTAGAAATATAGGATAGTATTTAATAAGTTACTCTCGAGAAGAATTTTCTAGTTGTTGCGTTCCTTTCTAGCAATTAAATGGCGTACTTTCTTCTCTGAGGAGGCAGGGAAACTGGGTTTGGAATTGATCCTCTGGAGTTTGGAAAACCCATGAAAGGTTAATTAACCTACTTGCAGTGACGCATACGAATTTTCTTTAAAAAATTACTCCTTTAAGATCCGATTGTGCTCGGAGCTTGATGAGATGAATTGAAAATTTTAACCATGGCAATGTTGTAACAGAGTGTCTTGTACAGAGTCTTTTAAAGGCGGTGTGTTAACATTTTTACTCTCTCGCTCCCATTGTTTTTTTACTTAAATGCTACATGTACTGCTAGGGTAGGGATTCCCCCTGGAAAGGGTATCGGGGGTCCTTCTTGCCATGATTAGGGTGGGGAAATTTCGGCCGAAAATTTAGCGGCACATATAAACTACACCCAGACATCAAATCAGCGAATGCAGTCGGTACGGTGTTGTAAACGCATCAAAAGATTGGCTATCATAAATTTCGCTTTCTTAAACGCTCTTTGACGCTGCAACCGAAGACTAAAATGATTTTCAAAGTTCCAGTCTTACTTTTTACTGCGGCTCAACGTTTTGGAATTGAGTGTCGTTGTTAATACTGCCGTGCTAAGGAAGAACGCCGTACGAACCTTCAGGCGTTGCCGAATTTCCTTTGATAAAACGCGCATTTCCTGGTAAATTCTTGAATATTTCCCTCCCAATTTTTCAGATAATTTAGATCGCAATTTTACCTAAAGATTCTGAAAATTCCAATGGAAAACATTCAGAACATCTCTCATAAATATACGTTTCAACGAAGGAAATCTGGCAACTCTCGAATGTTCATACGGCGCTCTTCCTTAGCCCGGCAGAATAGCCCTTGCGCCTCGGTGTCCACGCGTACGTAGGCACGTTAAGTACATACTTGAGCATGCGAGGTCAGCGAGGAGTGAAGGCTTTCAGCTTCTCCCGTTCATGACCGCGTCAGTGACCATGCCGCCTGGTCAGAGAGAAAAATAGAAAAAGACTAAATTATCATCATTAATGGCATCTCCCAGTCGCGCTTTTATTGTTGTAGTTATGACGGGACGGAACGCTCTTGCCTCGCCGCCATCAAGCTCTTGTCACACACGTTGTCGCGACTGACCGAGTCATTGGGGCACATTTACTACCGTGCTCTGGAGCAACGCCGTAAGAGCCTTCCGACGTTGCCAAATTACTTTGATCAAATACGAATTTTCAAGGTAACCTGTCAACATTTTTCGTCCAATTCCTCAGAGAATTTTATTTGCCATCAGCTCTAAATTTTCTGAAAATTTTGACAGAAAATATTCACGACTCTTGTTAAAAATAAATATTTTACTGGAGGAAATTTGGCAACTCTCGAAAATTCATACGGCGTTTTTCCTTAGCACGACAGATTAGGAGCTCGTCGATTGACTCAATGAGGAGTGGGAAGAGATTTTTTCTTACTCGTATAGTCATTTCATTTGAGACCGAGATTCAATCGAATTCACCTAGTTAGTAATTGACCACTCCCCTCCCCCTCCCCCCTCTTAACGCCCTTCAAGCGAAGTCTCTATCTCTTATTGATGAGGCCGCAGTCATCGGTATCATCTTCGGCTTTCTAAATTACAATTCATTCAATTAGATTTTTATCAAATTTTATATGATTGAATTTTTTGATTTTTTTTTATCACATAATCGGGTACATATCGACGGTGAAACTACCAAACCACGTATCTCGGTTTGCGACGTCGCGTCGCAGACTTCCTGTCATACTTTATTTTTTAAATGAAAAACTACTTAACATCCAGTCTTGAAAATTTCTGTAATTTTTCCTCTTTGTGCGGAGACAATTCCGTGAAAATTTCAAGGAATGATATTGATTTGGTCTACTTCAAAAAAATAAAATGTGAGCGTAGATTTTGAAACACCGCAAACGTGATACGTGGTTTGGTAGTTTCACCGTCGATATGTGCCTAATGCTGTATGCATGTCTGATCAAACACTTGCCCGTTTGAATTCGGTTGTGGGTGAAAAAGATGTGGTTTCAAGAATGAAACTTGAGAGTTTCCGGTGGTCTGGAAAACTTTGAAAATCGGGGAATTCATGGCGACTCGGAAAATTCTGGGAATTTCGCGTGGGCCTCGGTTCAGCAACCTCAGCTGATGCCACTCCAGAGAGCGCGAGTAACTTCCAAGTGCCTTCTTACGTAAATAGAAGTGGAAACGTTCTAAGTTTAGCTAAAGCAGTCGTCCTTATTTGAGGGGGAAAAATCCAAGAACGAGGTTTATTCAAAGGTCAGGGAATTTGGATATTTTGGAGTCAGACAGGGCCGGATTTACCTACTTGCCGCCCATGGGCCGCCTTTATTTTGCCGCCCCTTCTCTTTCGTTTTGAAACACCGATACAAACCATCAAGTAAACGTGCCGGAGGAGGAGGGGTGCATAAGACGCGTTTACTCGCGATGGGTACATTTTTGATGAAAGCCCTGTCAACACTAGCAAAAGTTCACGGAACTTTGCGGACACGGAAGTTCCGTAAACCTATCTCTGTGTGGACGAGGCCTTTCATTCATAAGAAAAGAGCGAACAAATTATGTAAGAATAAACATGAATGTGGTTTAATATTTCTAATTTCCGCCACCGCGCCAACCGCACTGCGTTTGGCGCAATGCGTGAAGTATCTCGAAAGTCTTGTAGGCGCTATGCGTTTGACGCGCCGATCGCTGCTTACCGCACTATGTTTGACGCGCCGATCGCTGCTGACCGCACTACGTTTGACGCAACGCGTGAAGTATTCATGGAGTCTTGTAGGCGCTATTATGTGTTTAATGCTGACCGACGCGCTGAGGGCTTCGCCTTCCCATCTCAAGTCCTCGTCATCATTACTCTCTGCGCCGCCGCGCCGCGCGCCGCTCCGGGCCAAATTGCGTGTTTGGATTTTCTCTCAACTTCTGTCTCTTGTATCACCGAAAGACGAACAAATTAGAAATTACTGTACTTTAACTCTCAGGAAATGAGAGCTTTTTTCGCCTTTTTTCGTTCGATTTCTACTTTTGAAAAAATTACAACTTTTGCCGCCCCCCTAAATTTGCCGCCATGGGCCGCGGCCCATGTGATGGCCACCCCCTTAATCCGGCCCTGGAGTCAGAGAACAGCAGAAAAGTCGGAGAATGGGAAAATTAATTCCTATGGTAACCCTGTAATTAAAATCTAAAAACTCTCAGAATCGTCCATAAATGAAGTCACGTGGTGGTTTAGAATTTCAGGCCCCGCTTCTCCCTCTGTGTTGTACGTCCTATGCGGGCACGCGTTTGCGCCACCCCGTCCCCCTCCTCCCCCCTGCTTATGGTAGTTGGTAGTAAGGTATATCAATGGTTTTCTGGATCCTTTCCACTTAACACTAGAAATTGGCATTTTTTATCAGATCTTGTCACCGAAAAATCTTCCAAAAATTGTCGCCTCGTGCCGTGATATCAAGCAATTGTAGATGCCTCCCGCTCCCCTCGTCTAGTCCTGGCCACGCCGGACCCAACCCTAGGGTAGAGCGAAAAGCACTTATTTTCGAAATCCCTTGACGGCTATACCAGAAAAATTTCCTCTCGTAATATAAACGGACCCGTGGTTTTTTTTCCGAAATTCTAACTCCTTCCGTCGGCACGGTCCACCTAAAGTTTCGAATTTTACGAAAAAATAACGTTTTTTCACCTTAAAAACGGTCTAGCGCCGTTTGGTTTCAACTTTAAGTCTTGAAACTGTCGTATCCCCATGATTTTGACACGCCGAGTTCATTTATGACCATTGCAATGTTGCCAGAAATACGTAAATTGTAAAATGTTGCCACATCGCACATTTTGTAAAATTTGCCACCCGATAATTGAGATTTTTGACGATTTGATGATTTTTTACAGGGACGAAGCAGTCGTGCTTGAGCCCCGAAAATTTCGAATTTCGGAAAAAGAAAAAACACGGATCCGTTTATGTTACGAAAGGCAACTTCTGATATAGCCGTCAAGCGATTTCGAAGAAAAGTGTTTTTCGCTCCACCCTACCATACCCACCCTTTCCACCCCCCTAAAACAGGATGCAATTTTTGAATGACCTATGCGCAAGAATATTCTCAGAGGTCCAAATATTATTACTCAGTGCCTGGCAAACGAAACGTTTCAAATTGAGGAATTTTGCCCACAAAAAAAAATTACTCTGCTTCAGGACAAGGAAATAATATTACAAGAACAAATTAAAACTATTCATATCATAAGAACTTTGAAGCGCCACATTCATCCTTCAAAGAGCTTATATAGTTTGTACTAAAAATGATTTTGAACGACAAAAGTTTTACGGAAACACGCACCCTAATAAAATAAAATTATCCGGCAAATATGAATGACATAACGTATTGAATACAACATCAGAACAAAGTTTCACTAGCAGAATTTTAGTGGGTATCTAATTAGATTTATCGTCAAAAGATTGAGTCAATACAAGTATATTGCTATACAGTATGTTGCTTTTTTGTGTTTCAGGTAGCAACCTCAATTCTAGTTTTATTATGTTTAGTAGATGTAGGATTTATATTCAAAAGGCTGGTCCTAGACGGTAGCTATGTTGCCACAGTAGACGAATTTACACCCTTAATTAAACTAATAACATTTGTAAGTATCCGTTCAACCGATTTTAAATCTTCCTCATTGCTATTGATAAATAACGCCCACTGATTGTATGCTATCTAATTTGTCTTTTTCTTTGCATTTTTCTTTTGATCTTATGACCAAATAAAGTCCTGAGAAATTTTTGTCCTCCTCTTAATTTTCATTTATTTTTTTTTTCAAGTTTTCAAGAAATTGTAATGATTTCGGTCATCAATACTTTAATTTGACGCTTCCTCCTTTTTCTACAGCTACCCATGCACGTATTCCAGATGATTATTAAACTAAAGAAGTACAAGTACCCCTATAAAATTTACGCAATATTAATGACAATGAATAAAATCTTAAATGCAATGAACAATTTATGAATTGAATAAAATACTGGTTACATTCATCACTTAATGATGAGCAACAGGTGGAAATCTTTCTTTTAAAAAATTATGTATGTAGCATGTGTATCAGGGTACACTCTCATAGTATCTCAGTGTGAAAAATATAGTTCTTTACGGCACGATTTTCAACAGGTATAAAAATACTGAGAAAATATCTGATGATAAACCCTTACTAACTGTACAAGCTGTGTTTTGCATATCGTTTGAAACACTCATCATTGATTTCACCCAGAAGAAGAACAGAAGCAGCAGACAATAACAAGAAGCATGTAGAGTACTCAAGGCAGTCGTTATCAGAAATTTTAATGACAGTTATTCATTTTATATGTATTAAAGTTAATTAATAATTGTTTGTTAATTTTTTCCCTACAGATAATGGCAGGAATTTTCGTGTATGCTAACAAAACTCGAGGGATGCGTACATCAGGATTTCTCTTTCTCCTGTGGCTCAGTTTAGCAATTTGTGGGGTTGCTCAATATAGAACTTTGTTACGATTAGCTTTAAACAAGGTAACAACTTCTTCAATCTTTTCAATAATTCCAGATAAATAGAGATACGAATTTGCATGTTCAATGGAAACAGCGCAGTAGCGCAATATGTTCCTAAGATGAAAAACACACTAAAAAAGGGTAACTATGGCTGAAAAAGTCAGGAGCTTATAAAGCCACGTTCTTGGGTCCTAGCGAACTCAATTTTCAATCGGATAAATGAAAAATAAAATTCAAGAGGAACCAAAGCTAGAACCTATTCGAAGGCTCATGCAATGTACCGTTTTAGTACAAGCGATATATTCACCCATTTGTTTGAAGACTGTTCATAATGACTAAGTTTTTACTTCAATGAGTTGAGTTCTTAGTAAATTTTAAATAAACTTCATGTTTCCTTGTACTTTCATGTGCTATCAATGTATCTATTCGTGAGATGTATTTATTTCTTTATTTATTCATCAGATATTTTTTTTTATAGGAATTAATGAATCCTGTGTATCCATTCGTTAGTTACATGGTTTACTATCCAATTGTTTTGGCATTATTCATTCTAAATTTCTTCGCAGATGTGCCTCCTAAATCTTTTGATTATCCACCTACAAATGTAAGTATCAATATGAGTCATTTAAGTATTCTGATATGTATTGAATTTTGTCTTCTTGATCCAAGACCCAGTTTTCTCTTTTCTTTTTGTTTCTCTAACTGAGCTCTGTTCTCTCCCTGCAATTTTTCTTCCACTGAAGAGAATAATTACAAATGAAGAAAGTAAAATCCAAGTTTTGGCATCAATTTCTGGAATTATATTTGCTCTTTTTTTTTCTTTGTCATTTAATTACTGAAGTTTAATTACTTTAAACCAAAAATCTTAATATTTCCAATATCAATCAATTTTTATTTTGCTTAAAGTATTTTCATACTTTTTTATGGTTTTGTTGAGTATTGTATAAAAAGCTGATCTTCTTAATTCGGACATCACCAGTTTTACAGCAAGTGAAAGAATTACTTGGTAATTTCTTACTTCCTTTTTCTTCTTCTTCTTCTGTTAGTCCTAAAAATATTTAAAATGGTTCTAAAAGACTCAGTCTGACACCTTAATTTCCTTTACGTCAATCTAATGTCAGTTTCAAAAAGAAATATTGTGCAAATACTGTCCTAAATCGAACTATAACCTCCTCCAAAAATGTATTACCCCTTAAGTCTGAATTATTTGATATTTTCATGAGTTGTGTAGTCAATTACTTCTTCTGATATCAAAAACTTTTAAATAACTTGAGACGTACAACGTTTTCAAGCTAATAAAAGGGTTGCATTTAGCAGAAGGGACCAATGAGATTATAGTGTTTTGAAATCGTGCAACTTCTTGCTTTAAACATCTAAATGTATCAAATTTCCCAATCGTTCTTCTTTAAAATGAACAATTTATTGGTATAAAAACAAATATCATTCGCTGTTTTAGGCCTTTTTTAGATAAAACTGAAGATGCTTAATTTTTACAACACTGCAATAGGGTTAATTCCTTTCTGTTAAATACAATCCTAATAAGATACCATCAAGAAATATACTCTTTAGGTTCCCATCTCCCTCTCATAGTATGAGAACCTGTAGAATCTTTAATTGTTGCAATACAAATTCCAAATAATCACCACTAAGCCAGTATTTCTTTTTTCTTTTTTTTTAATATACGGAAAAGAGGGAGAAAATAGAAGCCCCCGTTTAGTAAATTTTTAGTTGGCTTCTCATAAAGTATCTTTATTTTCTCTGTTGCTCTATGTTCTGTAAGCTCAGAATTTAGATAGATGAACCATTGATCCTCATACTTGATCAATCAAATTTGTAATTCAATGAAACATTATAGTGCCCTAAATTCAGGATTCTTTATTCATTTCTAAATTTTTATCTTAGAAGCCGTGCCCAGAACTAGCGGCGTCCTTTCCATCCAAGCTTGTCTTTGCATGGTTCGAACCCTTTGCAAAAAAAGGTTTTGAAAGGCCGCTGGAAGTGAAAGACCTATGGAGCATGAAAGATGAAGACACAGCTCGACAAGTAATTCCCAAATTTGACAAATACTGGAGGAAAACAGTAGCAAAGCAATCTAAGTAAATTCCTTTTTTTTATTATTATTATTTTGCGCTTTACTTGTGATAGGCAATTTGAAATGGGGGTCATTAACACACAATCTGCTGTGACGCAATGTGGGAAAAGAGCTCTTATTCATTAACACAATATTTGCAAAATTGAAGAATTTGTATGTTGTGGTCAATTATCCATCGACCAATTATTTAATGTCTCAAACGAAGTTAACACGTTGCATGTCATGCTGGGCCTTCAAGTTTGGGAAACATTTGGTTCTTGCGGTGCCTCCTTTGACTTAATTTTTTAACAATAAGCCGCTGCATGGAGCTGAATATTCACCCTTAAATTTCAGGCTGCTGATCATTGCACAATAGTATATATTTGGCATAATATTGCCTGATGAAGCTTACCACAACCACAAAATATTTCCTGTCATTCTAATTTTCTTTTCTGCTTTTTGCATTTATACTGATAGAGCAGCCATTTGGCACAGAATTTTCCTTCCCAGATAGTTTTAGTTCAAAATTTTTGAAATCTTTATTTTTTATTCTTAGCTCTGGAAAGTAATTGTCTTCATTTATTTGGACTTTCAGTTCAGCAGGACATAAAGCATCCTTTTTAAAACGAGGAGCTAGTATTCAACTAGAATCTGGAGACCTTTCCAAAGGAGGCAAGGAAGGGAAAGCCTCTATCTTACCTGCATTGTGTAAAGCCTTTGGACCCACTTTCGTTTTTGGATCACTTCTGAAACTGATGCAAGATTTACTTACATTTATCAGTCCTGAATTACTGAAGTAAGTGCTGAAGGAGGCCTGTCAGTTTTTACTTTCTCGCTACCCTAGGGTGGAAGAAGTATTGTCATTCTGCAAGGGGGGGAAAAAAAAATTTTTCATTATGGCGTTGGCATGGAAAGCTTGTGAAGCAAGACCTTTGACGACTGTTAGACGAATGAATAGCCTCCTAATAATATGTGTTTTTTGCTGCTTTTTGGATATATCAACAGGCCAATGAAATATGACTCTAACAAAAGCCTGTAATGACTTCTTCAAGGCTGCAGGCCTCTGAAAACTTCAACGGAAATATCAGCATCAGGCAGCTTTTTAGTTAGGTCATCCAGTGTTTCCAAATTTATATTTTTTAAATACTGAAATATTGCAATTCTCATATACTAAGTTGGTATAGCTGACCTCAACAAACATTTTTCTTGACCTGCAAGCCATATACCACTATATGACAGCAATATGCCTCTTGGTGAAAGGAAGAGTCCTTTAAATCACAGTTTTTTAGCATTCGACTTGAAAATATCTTTATTTTATCATAAACCATCCGAAACATTCCTCTGAAAATTCTATTTTGGTCTCAAACAGCAATACTGCACTGTTACTTAACAGTATGCCTTGTGTATGATGTATGCAATTGCAGTTTTCAAAGGCCAGAAGTATGGTATTCGTGCAATGACCTGCAAAGCGATTTTGACAAAATTACTTTATAAAATAATTTGACATTAATAAATTCATTTTTTCGTCAAATAGCAATTCTTCACTATTGCAAGGCTATATGCAGCCTACAGGCAAAGAAACAATTACCGGGTTTCCTTGGAGGGAGGCTTGCATCAGGTTGACAGCCTGGTAGCGGTCTCCATGAATGATTGGAGAGAGGTGCACAGGGCACATGATGGCCAATGAACCTGAAACTAGTCTCTTGGTCCTCTCTCTGAATCAGGAACCAACGCTTCACTAATTTCTCAATTTTTAGATCTGCAGCCATAGCACAGGCTAGATCCTACTAGCTGCATGCTCTGTTGCCATTTAGAGGTGCACTTCTATGTGCCAATGCGTTGATAAAATGACGTGAATTTTTTCACAATTCAAGGTCAAATGCATGTATACTTTTTTTGTCTATACCATCAGTTACAGTATTTTGCATAAATTTTCTGTTTAATAAGAAGTATAATTTGTATAGGTAGACTCAGAGATAATGATGTATTTTAAGAATGTTCTCATTTTCAATTTTAGGTTGCTGATCAATTTTATCCAAACGGAAAGTGAACTTACCTGGCGAGGGTACTTATATGCTTTTGGTTTGTTCTTCACTGCGACCATCCAGACCATCTTTCTATCTCAATACTTCACCAGGATGTTTTATGTTGGGCTTAGAATACGAACAGCCCTGATCTCTGCTATTTACAGGAAGGTAAAATCAGCATGATGAGCCAAATCTGAATGCATCATGTGTTTGCCTCTCACCTTCACTTTTTCATCCATCGCCACTAGGAGATCTTTTAAAGAGCATGATGTACAAACGCCATTTTTGACCTCATTAGATCTTTCCAAACACTTTCAGTCAATTATTTTTAATAGAGCTTTCAATTCCCAAATTTTCAGCCCCTTTAAAAATATTGAGGGAACGCTGAGAAAGCTCAATGTCTGATTCTTTGTCCTTTGATATCTCTGAGACTGAAAAATATGTCGAATTTTGTTTTTCAATATACCTTAATTGTGACCAAAAGCCTTTTCCTTTGGTTGTTTCTCATATTCCAGTTTTAGCAATTTTTCAGAGTGACACATATCGTATAATTATGGCAGTTAGGGTCATTACATAGCCACATTTTTTACTGTTGCCAGCACTCTGGCTTGAGTGTCTCAATATCATGAAGAGGTGTCAGAATGTGAAAAGTTTTTAATAAAACGTATTTTCCTCAGGCTCTAAGAATATCCAGTGCATCTCGGAAGGAATCAACTGTGGGAGAGATTGTAAACTTAATGGCCGTTGACGCACAAAGGTTCATGGACTTGTTGACGTACCTTAACATGATTTGGTCAGCGCCTCTGCAAATCACCCTTGCAGTTTACTTTCTGTGGGGGATTTTAGGTTGGTAATTATTTTGCTGCTTTTAAAAATTCACCCAAGAAAAGTTAAATTTTCATCCCATTGAAAAGATAAACTCTTTACTGTGCAAAAGCCCCTACACCATGACAAAAACAGCCATAAGAATTTTTTCTAAAATTTTAGTCAGAAGTCAGCCTTTTCTTTACAACAATGCTCATTGGGTCTTGTAGCTTCAATCAATGCTCACCAAGTACCTTAATGGTTTAAGTGGGGAACTTCGTATCTCCGTTTCTTGACATATTTTATTTTTTCTCTGGAAATCTAGTCACCTTAAATTCTTGAAAATCTCCTTGATTTTTCCTTTCTACTGTCAGAATATTTTGTATAAATTTCAAGCCATGTCTTCAATAAAATGAACTAAGAGCGGAAACTTTGAAACATTACTGTGGAGATACTTTGTTTCGCACTTTGGCCTTCGATATAGCATCATGCAACCACATGTAAAAGGAGTTGAAGGCACAGCTGTTAGGACACACAATAGGCTCCACCAAAGCTGTGAGGAAAGTCTTCAAGTTGAAATATCCAGTTCCTCTGCAACACTCAGTTTCTCTCGAATAAGCCATTTCAGCATGCAAATTAGTTAGGACAGAAAATTGCAAAGTTGGACACAGTTGTTACTAGTTAACTTTTGTATATTAGTCAAGGTAAAGGTGAGTCATGGCATACAATAGAAAAGATAAGGTAACAAACTTGACCTGCGAAACATCCAATATCAGCTCAAATGTTTAACCTGGATCAGTTTAGATTTTCTGAAGAACCGAACCGGCTACGAATTGAAGAAATTAATTGATCACCAAAATTAAAATGATTTTTCTCCTAATTTCTATGATAGGACCAAGTGTTTTAGCGGGTTTAGCTGTGATGATTGTCATGATACCAATCAATGCTGTTGTGGCTGCCAAAGTGAAAACTCTACAGATCAAGCAAATGAAATACAAGGATGAAAGGGTCAAGCTCATGAATGAAATTTTAGCCGGAATAAAAGTGAGTTCCAACCAAGTTATCAAGATCTCTTTATCCTGTTTATCTTGTACCTATCATTTAACCCTTTTTATTTGACAAAAATAAATACAACTTTACCTTGAAACTTTTTTAAACTCTGACACAGTGGTCAAAGGAATGTTAAAGTGAAAAATGTTAAACTTTCACCGCCAAGTACATACATTTATTTACATCAATCATAGAAATTGTGAAATGACTGCAGGAAAATATAGTATGTCTTAGCTCACGCATTGTATAACTCTATCCCTAGTTTTATTCCCGCATACTCACCGGCAGTGAGGAAATTTTACGATTCTGAGTCGGGAAAACAGTGGCTACAGAATGATACAGCATAAAAAGCTTGTTAATGTTCCAAGTACAAGCTGTAGGGCCTCTCTTGAGTAAAATCGCCTTAACTGGTTGTAGATGTCAAAGAAAGGGAAGCTTCAAGCCACGAGTTTCTCTTCTATGTAAGAGAAATCTGTTTGCTCTGTAACTGAATTTTTGCAAAACGTTTTTAAACCCTGTTTTAAATTAAGTCCTTGGAAGGACTGAATTAATTTTTTGGTCGAATGATTTTGGGAACAAGACTTAATTCTCAGAAAAGTAAACTTTAGAAATAGTATTAATTCCTCTGTGCTTTGACATTAAAGAGACTCAAAGGTATAATGGAGTGATTTTCTCTAAAAAAATGAAAAACTTCTCTGCCGCCTCGTTGCGATAGTGCACTATATATATAGGGTTGTTGCAGCACAGTTTTTTTTTTGCTCTGAAGTAGCCCTGAAAAAGTAGGTCATAAACAAAAAGCTTTTCCCATCAGTTGAGAGCTTATTAAAGTCATTTCTAAGAATACTCATACAAAAAGCATGAGGGAAGGATCAGTCTCATCAAAATCATGGGCGTAAATAGGGAAAAAGTGATGGCCAGATAATGAAATTGAATGGAATAAATTATTGTGGAGTCTATTTATGATAGTGGTATTGAAAATCCAACTAGAATCTGCCCTCTTTATATCCATCAAAAATATTTTATTAATAGCTGCCTTCTGGAGTCTCAAGTGTATCCTTTTTTTCTAGGTCCTGAAATTATATGCCTGGGAGAGAAGTTTTGAAAAACAGATTCTGAAAATTCGAGACAAAGAAATTAAAGTATTGAAGAAAGCTGCCTATCTCAATGCTGCCACTTCTTTCATTTGGTCTTGTGCTCCTTTCATGGTGTGTCATATTTTACTTCTATTTCTTTTTTTTTAATTCAAAAAGTTGTAAAAAAAATTTTTCAGTTGTCTTTCCAAAATACTTTTCTGGGAAAATGAGGAGTGCGTTTATTGGGAGTATATTTTCATATTGGTGTTACAAAGATATTTGCACAGTTTTTAAACTGAACATCCTATCCTGAATTCTCACATTGTTTTTTAACTCCAATGCCCAATATTTCCGCAAGGTTTCTCCCACAGACTTGATAAAGCAAAAAAAAATGATGGCACTTATTTTTTAGATTGTTTGAAGTGTTTTCAGTGCATTTTCCGAAGAAAATACATTTTTGTGTTTTTCTCTGTTTCCTATTCTTTTCCAAGTTTTTTAATAAAAAATTTGATTCCCTTTCCTTACAGGTATCTCTTGCCACATTTGCTGTCTACGTGCTTATTGATGAAAAAAATGTTTTAGATGCAAAGAAAGCATTTGTCTCGTTGGCTTTGTTCAATATTTTACGATTTCCACTTTCTATGTTACCAATGTTGCTCTCTAATATTGTTCAGGTAGTACTCTTACAAATTAACAGTAATTATAGCCAATTTCAAAATCTTAAGAAGTAAAGCAAAATTAATTTTAATAAAAAAATTTGAATAAAATTTAATTAATAAGTTAAATTTTACCTAAAAAAATTGTTCTCCAAGCTTCAGCAGAGGCAAGCTCTTAGGTGGTTTTAGGTTCTAAGGCTATGGTTGTGTCGCTTATTATACTCAGCTCTGTTGTTTCTAGACAGATTTATAATTTTCAAGGCTACAAAGTTGAGAAGGTATTTTCCATTTTTCAGAACAGATGAATCCCTAAAATTTTGAGATGCTGGAATGTCAGGCACAAAATATATTACACTAATTTTTTAGGAAGACAACTTTTTTCAAGAAATGTATTGTGCAAATTTTAACAGATTTAGTAATTAAGATCTACTTGAAATCTAAGGAGGAAAGAAAGAAAACAATGGACATTACTTAATTAATTATTTGAATAAATTTACTGTCTTCTCATGCTGCAGGCGAGTGTCTCTGTCAAAAGAATCAACAATTTCATGAACTTGCAAGAGTTGGATGTCAATGCAGTCAGTCATGATGAAAATGAAAGTGAGTGTTCGTCTATTTTTATCATCTCAAACTCATGATTACTCAAAATCAATGACTTTAGCAACTCAACATCTCTCACTACCCAATGGTCTTAATTGTATTAAGTTACATATTGTATCTAATTTAAATGAATTGAATGTCAAAGATGCCTGCATTTGGTTGTCACATCCCCTATCTTAGTGATTTGCAGTAGTTAGCAATTTAATCAAGAAAATTTTTCTGCCAACAGACTTTTGATATGGAAAAAAAATTGACTTAAGCTTTGCCCTTTACCCTTATTTACATTCCTTTTTGTAATCTTCTCGCATAATTACTCTTTCTCCACTTTCCGTCAGCTTTATTCAGAATTTTCATTCAAATTCATTTCTTAAGTTACAAAAAAACGGTAGTTGTTAAATTAAAGTTAAATTTTGTTTTTGTAATTTGATTTCTACAGAGGATGCTCTTATCATTGAAAATGGAACGTTTTCATGGGATGGGCTGGCTCCAACATTGCGTAACATCAATTTGAGTGTTGCTCCCAATGCTCTTGTTGCTGTAGTTGGCACTGTTGGATCTGGGAAGTCGTCTCTATTAGCTGCATCTCTTGGTGAAATGGAAAAAATGTCAGGACGAGTCAATATCAAGGTATTGTTGTCATTCTTATATCCATTAATCAAGAAATCTTAATTGTAGTCGACTGACTATTTTATTGTTATTTTGAACCAATGTCCATCAATCACAGTTCTCAATCATATCAGAGGTATTCCTAAGTAAAATGGACTTATTTATGCAAAAAGGTGCTCAAGGTTTGCTTGCAACATAGTTCCTTAGGGTGCGTCAAAAAAAATGAAAGTCTAAAATGTTCCGCTCCCCAGGCGGCAATCGATGACGTTTGGTTAAAAAACATGTTTGCCTAAATTTGGGCCGATTTCAACCATTTTAAATGGTGCCAAAGATTGATTTTGTGATGAAATTATGATATTTGGGTTTAGACCTCGATTTCGTACAAAAAACTCGATTTTACGCTGAAATCGTGCGTTTACGAGAAAAATGCCACTGAACTCAAGTTGTAGAGGATGAAATTTTACACTAGGAAGACGTCTTTGTAAAAGATAAAAATCAAATTGAACTAGAAAAACTCACCTCGGTATTTATTTTTTTGGTCCTCGGAATTGCCGAGGTCTTACAAAGTAGCGGTTTTAAAGACTCATTCTTCACGAAAATAAGTCGAAAGAGGGTATAAATGAACTTTAGGCAAGTGTTGAAGATGCCAATGTCATCAGAACTTCCTCAGTTTCAAAAAAAGTTCCAACTATTTTGCACAATCCTCCAAAAAGTGAACGGCTCGAGAAGCAGGATCGTGCTACAATAATGAGGGAGAAGTGCGGTTTGACCAGGAAAAATTGCGTAACGAACTTTCCCTATGTAATCGTCATCAGTAGGTCCCCCTGAAAAACTTCCTTAAAGTTAAAAATGGTCCGACCCCGGAACACCCCTCAAAGTACTTAAAATTGAAAATGGCAGCTGTAATATGGGGGTCCGGGAAATCGGTATTTTAAAAAGCTCAGTCTGTCTCATGTGAGGTATCATTTCCTATGTAATTTTGGTCGTAGATTTCAACAATATAGATAAGGAAAATAGAGACACTTCATTTCCTTTTTCCTTCGGTGAATATTTAAAAAAATGCAACCTCCTGCCTTTCACATTTGGCTGCCATCTTTGATTTGGAGCGCCCCCTTTGACCAGGGGGGCCTTGTAAATGAGGGGCCCTCTAAATGATTACCACTATGTTTAAATAGCTTGAAAAAATCTTGATACAAGAAATGGCGAAAGGAATTTTATCCTACCAGGGCATTGATGCCAGTGACTTAAAAAATGTCTTCAAGGATGTAATTTAAAGATGTCTCTGAAAACTTCTTTGGCTCAAAATATCCTTGAAATTGCCGCAAGGAACAGGGATACCAATGCAACTAATCATTTATGAAAAAGATGTCAAGTTGAGGGGGTTCCTGGGTGCATCTTAAAATGTTAACCATAGTTTTATTGCCATCTTAAATCGTTCTTTTAGTCATTATGTTAGTATTTTTCCTCGGCATGATTATGAACAAATTCAGTACTTGCCTTAAAAAGCGTGTGAAAGTTCCAAAAAGAAAACCAGCAAGATTATAGATCAATCTGCTTTCCTTCGGCAAAGTTTTTATCCGTACTCTCAGTTTTACACCCGCTTCAACCGCTAGCGTTGTCTTTTGTTACACATTAGCAATGTCAACTTCCAATGCCTTGTTCTCATGGGAGATATTTGTATTTTTGGCAGGGATCTGTTGCCTATGTTTCACAGCAAGCCTGGATTCAAAATGCAACGCTCCGAGAAAATATTTTGTTTGGAAAGCCCTTCAATCTGAAACTTTATAATAAAGTTATCGAGGCATGTGCTCTTCGTCCAGATTTTGATATGTTACCAGCAGGTGATAGCACAGAAATCGGAGAAAAAGTGAGTAAATGCTTCTATTCTAAAAATTTCTACTTACAAAAGTACTGAAATGAATTCAGTTTTAGACTCAACTTTTGGGGAGTTGGTTATTCCTGTCCACTTTTTGGCTCTTTAAATAATTGTTTCAGAAAAAGTGACTATTGTAAACGGACTTTTCTTTTAGTTTAATTTCAAGTTCAACCAAAATCAGAGCTTTGTCTTCCTCGGATCCAAATTTATTCTACAGAAAAAAGTTCAACCATTTTAGAAGAAAAATTAACCAACTTTTCAAACATCTCGTGGGAAAAATTCACCGCGAGCTGATTGGAAGTGGTAGGCAGCTGAACAGGGTTTCTCGTGATCTTGGAAACCAGAAAAGTCAGAAAACTTTCAGCGGCCAGAGAATGTCAGGGAACTCAAGATAGTAGTCAGATTTTGCAAGTAACACATCTCCAACTTCATCCGGTTTCATTCAAGAGAGCTGTAGTCTTTGCGAAGGTGCGTCATACACAGCATCAGAGAGTATCTTTATGATGAAAGGTAAATAGAAAATATTTGTGTGGAAGTTGTTTTTGAAGATAGGGGAATAGTTTTAGCTCCTAAAAGAAAACAGCTGTTTAATAAAATCCTGAAAAATATCAGTATGAGTGTCAGTGACTTTTGGGTTCTCCTCACACCGCAGGTATTTTTAGTCCATCATCCATCAGGTTGGGGGAAAAAATAAGGTTTTTATGTACTAGGATTTCGCTGCTAAGTTTGCATGTAATGAAATCATGCCTGTAAAGTAGCATTTCTTTTCTCCCTTTGAGTATTTAACAAGCAAGAATTGGAACTGCTTCTGTTCAAGCACTCTTGCTGATATGTTTATTTTTCAAAGCTAAATGTTAAGGTTTTTTTATACCATTCCAGTAATGTAAAGTTCATAGCTAATCGTCAAGGAATGAGCATTTTAAAGCCATTTGACTTTTCCAGGGTATCAATCTGAGTGGTGGTCAAAAGCAACGAGTGAACTTAGCAAGAGCGGTGTACAATGACCGTGAGGTGTATCTTTTGGATGATCCTTTGAGTGCTGTTGACAGTCATGTGGGTAAACACATTTTTGAAAATGTCATAGGACCAAAAGGACTGCTTCGCAACAAGGTGCCAACATTTATTTAGTTTTTGTGATGTTTCCGACAGTGGCGTGGCGTGAATTGCGATTTATCGATTGTTATGCCATTTAAACCTATGAAAAAAGATCGATTATCAGGGTGTTCGCAGCGAACACCTTAGTAATCGATTCTTTACCATAGTCTCAAATGGCGAGATATCGATAATCGATTATTCACGCCACGCCACTGGTTTCCGAAAGTTGAATATTTTAGATTTGTCTGGTGAGACACTCTCAAAGTATTGAGTTGGGTTTTATAATTTACTTGTTTGAGATAAAATGTTACTAATGTGTTTGTATTAGACCGCTGGAAGTATATAGATTCAAGCAGGTCTCTCACTAAAATAGATTTTAGATTTGTCTGTTCGGATTTTATGCCTTCATCCAGCAGAAATTTACCTGTTGCTTTTGTACATACAAACTATAAAGCAATCTATACACTTATGCAACAATATTTCCTATGAATATAGTGGACCTTAGGAGGCAGTTTCAACTAAACAGCAAATTTTTTTTATGGCAATCAAGAGAACGACTCCTCTCAAGGTTGTACAAGGAGTGTTCAACAAGCTTTTTCAGCCCCCCTTTCCTCTCTACCAGATCTGAAATTCACAAAAATGGACTAATTCCCTTGATCTTTGGTCCAAAATCTTTCTATGGACATATCAAGTTCAAAAATCAAAACCGCAGAACTAACGGATAAAACGTAACCTTATGAATGTAGCTTCAAGTTTACGCAACGGCATGCAGCTCACAAACGATATCTGGAAGAAAATGAAGAGTAAGTGGATCTCTCTTAAATTTTATGGAAACTGAAATATCTGAATAATTAGGATAGAATGAGGGCATACTTTTCTTTTCCATGCAGGCACAATCTCTTGTCAGTGCAATTCTGAGACCGAGAGGGTAGCTTTATGATACTGCACATGTGCAGCAAGCCCAACAACTTCTATGCACTGGAGACCGTGAACCAGGCCTTTCTGCACCTGAAGTAATTTGATAGAAGTGAATGGAAAGGAAAATTAAGGTATGTCTTAATTTCACCCTCGTCATCCACATTTTTCAATGTCTGTAAAATTTTGTGATGGGTCCTCTTACTGAGCATTTAATTTCAAGTTCCAGATGAGATAGGAACTCAAAGATCTCATGTAGCGGCATTTCATTCAATTGATCTTTGATATTGCTTCATGTACCTAAAATACTCAAGGAAAAATTTTAGGACAGTGATCAATAGAATTTTACACGGGAAACAAAGATACTTAAAGAGAGCCTTGTTGATAATCTCAAAGTCTGCTGCTGCTTTTAATTTATAATCTCTTATTTAAATTTTAGTTATCAATGCGAAAAAAGCAGCATTTTTCCACTGATAGAGAATATTTTTATCTCAGACAGTGTTTTATTTGTTGGTAGACAAGAATATTGGTGACACATGGACTCACATATCTTCCAGATATGGATCAAATTTTCGTAATGAAAGAAGGAGAAATATCAGAAAATGGTTCGTACAAAGAGCTTCTTCAGAAAAAAGGTGCTTTCGCTGAGTTCCTGATCACTCATCTTCAAGAGATTGATGATGCTGACGATGAGCTAGGTAATCCTCTTGAACCAACTTAATCAAATAATGTTTACAGTGTCTTTGCTTCAGCAAAATTGCCTCCAGAAAATGCTTTGCTGGCTTCAGGACCATCAGATTTGGATTTCTTTAGGCCTATTATCCATGGAAACGCCTTTTTCCTGGCTTTTATGTCAATTTAGTGCCCTGGCATTTTATCAAGGTGGGGTTCTATCCCCCAACTTCAGGGGCCAACATTCCAAATGGAATTGGGCCAATCTTGGATTTCATGGTATCAATTTACTTTGAAATCACCTGTACAGTGAATTTTTTGACCCCTACCTATTTTGACAGAATAATTTCAAAATCGTCATTAAAACCTTGGTTTTAAAGTTATCACTCACCTTTTGGCGCCTAATAGGGACCAGAAGGGGCAGAGGCTATGAGATGATGAACGTCAGACTCTTCGGGGTCAGTTTCTCCTTTGTTCCTACAGTGTTCAACTTCAAGTGACTTTAACCAAACAAAGAAGCCTGGTATGGGTGGTCTGGGCCACCCTGTATGTATCTCATTTTATTCTGTTTTGTTTGTCACTTACCTGTGTCACATATTATTTTTGAGAAATAGTGGGCTCTCTCCTACATTTCCTTGAAATAAATATTTATGTATCAATTTGGTAAAAATGTGAGTCATGCTCTCTGTTTAGAATATTCTGATTTCTTTTTTGATAATGTCTCTTAATATCAGATGTGCCATAATTTCAGAGTCAAATAAAATGATCATTGCTCCAATTTTCTGTTAAAACGTTTGTTTCCAACAAGATTTAGAAATTCTTTTCTATGTATAGACTGTTCCGTCTCTGGTTGCAAAATGTGTATGACAATACATTCAACATAGACTTCTTTTAAAAATTTATTGGCTACTTTCAAAAACATTATTCTCAGTATTTATAATCAGACTATGTACCTAATTTAATTCGCTCTTGGGTCTAAAATTTTGTCAGGATTGAAACAGCAGCTATTGACAACGCCTGGATTGGTTCCTCGGAAGGGACATAGAACCTCCAATTCTAGTGAGACAGGTTCAACTGTCTCCCTACACAGGTAATAATTGTTTTATTTTCTTTCCTCGATAGGCCTGTTGCAAGAATCAAGGATTTGCGAATTTAATTTGGCCAATTTCCTGAAGAACATTAGCTTAAGACTATTCTATTGGTTGTCAGTAAGCTACCTAAGCAGCTCCGTCAATAAAAAGTTACGATAAGAGCGCTCTTGCCGATAGCGATCAGAGTTTTCGGAGCTGACAAAATAAGCTATTGCCATTTGTACATCTATTTTATGAGCTGCTGCACCAGGCAATCAGATAAACCGACACACGGGGCAACAATGCATTGAGTGCGAGCTCTCAAAAATCCGTTAAGGCCAGCTGTTAACGATATCATCGCCACTGTTGGTACTGCCGCCAGTTTCGGTAAGAGACGATATCGATAGTGTTCTGGCAAGAATTCGTTTGAACACCCCTACATTAGCCACATTAAAAAATCTTGAAATCATCATCCAAACTCAAAAAAGGGTGCTTTTGGAACTGATCCATTCAAAACAGTCACTTTTGGGCAAGAATGAGGTTGATACACTAGCTATGTCACAGTACATGACAAACCTGGTTACTACTGGTCAGCAAACCTTGATTTGATATGAAAACCCCTCTTTTGATCCTAGATATCCTCTTCTTCTATAAAATTTGTAGCAGTGTTCAAGTAATGACATTTTATGTTTAATATTTTCAGACAAGCGTCAGAAGATGAAACAGCAAATGGATTGAACGCCAATAATGTAGCAACTGGACAAAAATTAATAGAAGTTGAAAAAGCAGAAACTGGAAGTGTGAGTATTTTTATTTCTTAAGTCTCTTTTTACTCTGAATTAAATCATAAATTTGATTGCCTTTTAAAATGTTGAACAATTCAGCAATTGTTCCTGCATCCTAGTGCATCAGCTGATATAAGTTTTCTATTCTTTTTGTTCAAAACTTCAGTGAGAAAAATTATTCAGTGATGTCCAATGGAGCAGGTGAAAAAATAATTCCTTCTATGCGAACCAGAAATAGACCCACATGGAGCTATAACCCTACCAAGTTTCATTGGGAAGGCAGTCAATAATTTAATCAACTGATTCAACGGACCACCAGAAAAAGTGCAAATTTAAGCATAATAATGTATTTTTTCTTGTCAAAATTTGATGAATTGTCTGTAAGGTAAAAATTATTGAAAGTAACTCTTAACCAAGATATCGATGTTTTCAATGAATAAATTCAATTTTACCTCCCCTGATAACACCCTACCTGAGCTAAATCGCTTTTTAAACTTCATATTAAAATTTTGAAGAGGTATATATGTTGGTATGCTTAAATTTGTACCTTGTCGAGTGGTTCTTTGGCAAAACAAAACAGCTGAAAATTAGGGGGCGGGTCAAATTAAGATTACAGTTTTTAAATAGCACACCTAATCAAGAAGTAAAAAATCCGAAAGTTGCCTTTTGACAAATAGACATTTTTCTGCTTGTAGGTTCAATGGCATGTATATCTCCACTATTTCAAAGCCATCGGATGGTCTTTGAGTTTAGCTACGATCATCTTAATCATCATGTTTCAAGGATTCTCAATTAGTTCTAATCTGTGGCTGTCAAAGTGGTCATCAGATAATCAGACTAGTTATTCGGCCTCTGAGAAATCGGAGAAACGAAACTTATATCTTGAAGTTTATGCTGCATTAGGATTTGGACAAGGTAACAAGTTAAACCTTTATTACCTTTTCTACCTTTTTCATGATGTTTTATAACCTCCTCAGTTTTTAAGTAAGATTATGAAAATGAAGGGTAGGAAAATTTTGGACTCTGGAGTCCCTGTATCCAAGGGGGTACTCCAAAACTCCTCTATGTATAAGCGAGGCAGGTAATAAATTTCATTAAGCCCTCGAACCTTACAATACTTCCAAAATGGGGGTGCCTAGCTAGTGCCAGGTAGAACAAATAAATGTACTGCCGCTGTACAATCATGAGATTTTCAGAATCAGTCCAGTATCTTTGAAAAGAAGATAAATTGCCTCAGTAACTTTGAAATATCTTTCAATACAAAGATCCACTTCTACTGAATCGAAATCATACGCTCTGCATGATCATGTTTACTTTCAACAAAGGACAACTTCTTTTCCGTAATTTAAACTGAGCGCAAGAATTTTTGTTCAGTAGAGTCCATTTTAATTGGCATTTTCACCCTAAAACTGATGGGTAGGTAAGTGGCGATTTTATTAAGCTTATCTAGATGATATGAAGCAAATTTTCATCCTCATCATAATCTTTTAACTTCCAAAAAATCTGCCTCAAGAAAATTGTACCCCTCCTTTTAATACATGATATTTCAAACAGTCGCTATACCCCTTTTGGTGCCTGGAGTACCTATTTTAAGCCAAGAATTCTAGTGGAAACAAAGAGAAGGAATCCTTGTTTTTATTAAGTTTTCCACTTTCATAAGTTGTATTATAATTTCTCGGAGTTTTGAGAAAGATTAAAAAAATGTAAAAAGCCATACAAATGTGGAAACGAAAGTGCTAAAATAATGTCCTCTCATCAGCCTAAATCTCCCATAACTTTCGTTAAAATTATGGTGGTATTTCTTTATTGTGATCGTGATGAGCTTACATATCTCTAGGCAAGGCAAAAGGTTGAGCAATTCCCTTCTCTCTCTCTATGCTCGTAGTTAACTTTTTCAAAATAGGTAAGACTAGTCCACTAAGTTATCTAAAACCATTTCCTGACCAATGGTCATGATGGTAAGTGATAGCTTGAAGAACATATTGTCGCCATTCAGCTTGGCAGACTTTTCACAGGGAATAAAGTTAAATTTCTTATTTCTATGAATTCTTCCGTACAAGCTTTCTTGGAAATAATGAAGCAGATAGTAACTTATTTGATTTGTCACAGAATCGTCATGGTTTATTTTACTCTCCAATACTGAATATAATCATTTTATTTTCATTCATTTTCAATCTTGACTTTAAAATATTTTCGTCAATTGTTTATTGTTTTGTTGACGTGTTCATTTCCATTAGCATATCACGAATAGGATTTCAGGAGACTTTTTCAATTTTTACAGGAACTTACAGGAACTAAGCATTTTTAAACTTTAATGGGTCAGTGTGCAAATTTTTGTTAATTCATTTTCCTAGAGCTCTTAGTGAGCTGGCTGCCCAGTAATTTTTTCTGATTTTTTTTTTCACTAGAAATGATAGAGGTAATCGATTTTGAAGTTTCCTAAATCAGGACCCATTCAAAATGTTTTTGGCCGTCTGTTATGACGTAGGTGGGCAATAAGTAGGTTCCCATTCGCTGATTGACTGAGGCATGAAGCTCAGCCTAAGATGCGGCCTAGTTACGTCATTATGACTGTTGGCCTTTTGGTTGGTCAGATTTTAATTAGGTTTGCCTCCCTTTAAAAATGCCTTCATAAACTTTTTAATGGACTTTTTGGACTCATGTAGGTAAATTGTTTTGAAAACTCCAAAGAAATTCTTAATTTCATCACTGTTTAAGTTTAAAGATAAAGGTATACCATGCGTGACGCAAGAGGAAGTATTCCGATGATCTATTAAAGTAATCTGTCATAAAGGTAATTCTTCAGTTACCTCTTTTATCTGCCCTCGGAAAAACATGTATTTTCCTCCCAACTCATACATACTGGATATGCTCATTTTGAAATGAATTTTTATTTAAACAGCGGCCACTACATTGCTTTCATCATTCAGTATCGCAGAAGGGACACTGCAAGCAACCGCTGTTCTACATTTGTCTTTGCTAACAAATATCCTCCATGCACCAACAAGTTTTTTTGATACAACGCCTGTTGGTCGAGTCGTGAATCGTTTCAGTAAAGATATCGATACAGTTGATACAGCTCTGCCCCAAATTATTCGAACTTGGCAAAACTGTCTTTTTGCGGTATCGTTGAAATTTTCATTTTTGATTGGTTGAATGCGCTTTTTGAACCTGTGAAAGGTTTTTCTTAGTAGATTGCTGGAATTTAGCATGCTACTCAGGTGTTCGTTAAGTCTCAGTATTTTTGTTGATCTTCCTTTTTCTGTCATTTTTAAAGGTCCTCTTTTTCCTGTTCTTTTTTCAAGTTTTTTAAATGCAGCGTAATATTTTTCCAATGAGTTTCCTAGAGCCTAAGAGAGTCCTGCTTAAAAAGAAAGGTTCCTCCATTGTTATCATCATAATTTTTTCTCTCTCAATTTTACTTCTACTTTCAATAGGGCATAAGTCTCAATAATGAAATCATTACATGATCATAATTTTTACCCCGGCAAAGTTTCTTTTCACATTCAAAGTCTATTGTCAATCAATTAGCTATTTCTTTGATATTAGAAACATTCCTCTATCATTTAAAAAAAATGTATGCCTGATTATCAAGCCCCGACCTCCTTTTTTGAATTCTAAAAAATTCTCTTGAATTTAATCAGAATTTCCCAAGAAACATGACTGAATGCTTATTTCGACTTGCATTATGAGGCACTTCTCTCTCTTTAATTAAAAATTTGCATTTCTTTCATTAAGTTTTGAGGCTATTTATTGACTATTTTGCATTCACATGAATCTCTCATCTTCAGAATGAACAAAAAGAAGTTTTTCCCAGGAATCTCTTAGAGCAAAATATTTAGTTTTTTTTATTCTTCCCTTAATGTAAACTTCCTCTTTGTCTTTCAGGTCGTTTTGGCTACTTTTAGTTGTTGTTTTATATCTAACCAGCTTAGTTAATAATTTCAATCTCTCGAGGTTGTAATTTATAACTTATATGCATACCACCTAATTAAGTATTAAAGTTCCTCTTTCTTTGCAAAGTACCGCTCCGTGAAATTCTGTACTGTACTTCTTCTTTTGCCCTAAAGCAGCTGCTTTTGAATTCAAAATATGCCTGTATCTTGTTTTATGGAAAGTTTAAATTCTTTCTTGGCAAAACATGTGAGCGGATAGCACTATTAGTCAAACTTCCTATGAAGTCGTTGGTGGGATTTCCTAGTGTACAGTTTAATCCCAGCTCAAATTCAGAGCCAAATTAAATTCTGAGAATTTGAACTTCTGAGCTGTAGTATTAAATGCAAATTTATGGTTTCAGGGCAGAACTCTTGATCCATGTCCTTTCAATTACTTTTTAATAGCGAGGTCTCCTTACTTTACTTCTCAGGAAGTAATTGAATATCACAGAATGGTCCTTTTGGAATAGTCCCTGAACAAAGTTCTCTGCTTGACGTCTCCAACCTCTTTTTGAAGGTGTAGATAAAGGTCAACTCCAGTAAATATCACCCCTTTTCAGTGATAAGACGAACCAGAGGGGTAGTGCTGGCATTAGCTATTGTCCGAGGAATATCTGGGCAACTCAGAGCACAGGGCAAGAAGCAGAAAAATTACCAGACCATTCTGGAACGTTCAATTCTTCGCTGTGTTGTTACTTGACTGTGATTGCTCAAAAATTATGAATAAAATGATCTTTAAATATATTATATTGTTTAATGGAAGGTTAGAATATTATCTTGCTTATTCAGAAATTGGTTTGACCTGTCATTGACTCTTATTTCGGTCAAACAGCTTATTTGTTAGCTGCTCAGCATAGTTAGATAGGCAAGGGAGACAAGCAGTCGCTTGGACTGGTATACTCGTCCAGAAAACACAAAGCATGATGCTTAATCAGAGAATTCCATCATTTAAGTTCCATGCTGTTGATTATTGGTTTTTAAGAGTTCTGCTAGCCTCTGATCATTCAATGGTATGTTCTCTTTATGCTTAGCTCTGCTCTTCATCATAATTGACCTAATCTCTGCAGAAAGGAATGTAAGAGGGTCGCACGTGCTCCATAATTCGCTTCTCTTAAGTGCATTTCGCTGGCCAGTAGCATTTTTTGATGTAACTCCTATTGGGAGGATCTTGAGTCGATTCAGCCTTGATATCGATAGTATTGATGTCAGACTCCCTCTGTGTTTTAATAACATCGGTCATCGTTTCTTCGGGGTATGTTGTAATTTCATCCTTTAGGTTAATCATGCAAACTCAGCCAAATGCAACTTATTTGGGTAACTTACTAAATAAGTATGTAACTCAATTTTAAGAAAAGCAACTAGTATTTATTATCATAGACTATTTTTGTTAACAAAAATTGTGAATTCGTATCAAAATAATTATTGAATGAAACTGCAAAAGGTAGGCACAACAATTGTATCTAGTACAATATCTTTCGTGTATTTGTAAAATATAAAGATAAGATTTTCAGTTTATTAGGAGGATTTCATTTGCTCTTCATTAGTTAACAAGACCAACGATCTTTACACAGCTTACTGGTTTTCCATTAATATTGAAAACTTATAATTACGTTATCTGTTTTTTCCTCTATGTCTCAGTCGCCCTCAGCATCTCTATTGATTTTGTCTCCGTAAAGAGGAATGTGGGAGGATCTCGTAAACTTCATAACTCTCTCTTGTCTAGTGTCTTTCACTGGCCAATGGCACTTTTCGACACAACTCCAATCGGGAGGATCTTGAGTCGGTTCAGCTCTGATATGTATTGTGTTGATTTTGCACTCCCCATGTTTTTTAACCAGATCACTCAGAACATATTTCGGGTACGTTTTAATCCCTCCTTTAGATAAGGTTCAAAACAGCTGCCTGAGTATTGCTTTTCCTCCTTTAAAATTGTGACTTAATTTGGTGCACCTTTCCCTTTGCCTTAATTTGAATGAACGT